AGTGATCGACAATGACAGCACTCATCAGCTGGATACTCCTGTATCCCAGTGAGTATAGATTATACTTATCTAAAAACATGAATGATATTTTACTAATAATGTTCAAGGTAGGCGAAAAATCAAAGAAAACATTGCCAATGATGTAACCAATTCGTGCAACGTAACTTGCCTTATTAATACCTTAGTGTTGGCATCGCTTTAGTTGCAACATTATGAGAGCATAAGGTCTCACTTAAGTTTAGATATATCGAACTGATAAAATAACAGCTGACTGAGACACCAGTCTATGGTTCAACGTATAGTTGCTTCCAAAAACTGCTCAAACCTCAACAAAACCAGTGTATTGTAAGAAAAAACAGGCTGAATATTCTCATGCATACCTGTCTGACAGTCATACTCTAGGATGTTACCGCAGTTAAAAGAAAAATAGACAGGACATTGTGCGGTGAATATAGTTGAAATGCTTCCCCATCATTTGATAACACTTAGCAATAGGTCATGGTCAAACATAATATAGATGTTTCATCCTACCTATTTCTCATCAACTACTTCAACTATCAGTAGTACTTGGACACGGTAGTTATGTATGAAACAATGGCTGGTTGTCTCTTAAGCGACTTCACTTCTTCTTCTCGATCTAGTTTATTTGATAAAATCCTTGTTATAGCTTGGTATTTCTGAGTGTTCACCAATATTCAATGAAAAGTGAACAGACAAATGATTCGACTGCTATATCAATCAGTATGATTCTGTTATCCGGGTCTTACTGTACATCAATCGGTTATTAGATGGTCACAGAGGGGTATACGCTGGACCGAGGAAAAGATCCTAGAAGATTTTGATTTCACCGATGACATGTGTCCAATGTCGCACAAACTCGAAGATCTACAGGCATAATTCAGCAAGTTGACAGAAGAGGCAGGGAAGCAAAGACGGGACTTCAAGAGAATGTAGAGAAGACAGAGGTGATGATGATGCCCAACCAACGCTACCACCACCAACAACAAACTCCAATTGGCATCAACAGGAGAAACTTAAAGGAAGTAGCCTCCTTCACCTACCACCTAGGCAGCATCGTTTCAACTACACGCCGCACAGGCACTAGTGAGGATGTCAAAGCCAGCCAGGATCGGAAAAGCAAGACAGGCCTTCCTGCATTAATCTAAAATTAGTCAGTGTGGAGATCTTCTGCACTCCACTCAGCATAAAGCGTGAACAACATCGGGATTTTCAACACCAAGTCAGTCAAGTCAGTGCTTCTATGTGATGGTTGAGAGACTTGGCGCCTCACGAAAGGCATTTCCAACAAACTACAGATATTCATCAACAACTGACTACGCTGACTAGTAACTGAAGACCAGATGGCCAGAATAATGAGAATAAGTAACAAGGAACTCTGGTTGGCTGGTAACGAACCAACGAAGCAAGAACCTATCACTGAACAAATATGCAGTGGAAGGAAATGGATATGGATTGGGCATACACTGAGAAGGCCGATTGGGGACATCACGTGCCAGGCCAGGTGATGCCGTCGAGTGGAACCCAGATGGGAAGCGACGAGTTGGGCGTCGCAGGTGAGGGTGATATGGAGGAGATGGTGTGAGGAAGAAATGAGAGCTTGTGGGCAGTTTTGGAGCGAAGTTCAAAGGACTGCAGAGACGAGAGTGGAATGGAGACGTGCTACTGAATCCCTATGTTTCACTAGGAACCCAAGGGACAAATAATAAATAAATAAATAAATAAATAATGACAATAATAATAATGATAAAAAATGGTCACAGATGTCGTCACTACCATGCAGTCACCGAATCAGGCACACATTTCAGTTCTATGGGGTAGTCTTTCATGCTTTGAAAAAGGAAACTGATTTACACAGACTGAATTCATTACAAAAAGATCACTTTCCTTATGTTTACAGATATACCTTGCTAGTGTGTACCGAAGATTACGATACTTGGATCAAAGACTTCCTAATGATTAATTAAATAGTAATATGTAATATCAACGTTTCACTTTATTGCCGTCTTCTTCTCAACTTACTTAATCTCTATCATTTATTTATCACAATGGAGAGAAACACGACATGTATTTTATTTATTGATATCTTCCTATTCAATGCAAATAGTTGTATGAAAGTTTACAGCGAATCCAAGTTTACAGATTAATACTTATATGTGTATATCATTTACTGAATGCTTAAATGTTGTCACACTATGCAGTCTGAACTTGGTTTGTATACTTAAACCAAAATAAACTTTATAAAAAGTTATACGAATCGTTTACGGTATTCCAGAAAGCTTAAGGAATAGAAATTTCACAGGATTATTGGAATATTTGAAGCGAGAAAAAAATACTCACTCATATACTCAATTGTTGATTGATTGACTGACTGATAAATATAGAAAATCAAGTTTCTCTTTCACTCCATACAACAGTTACAGCTAACAGTCAGTTATTAAGATGAAATTGAGGTGATGTAATCATTTGCTACCGACATTTTAACTGGTAGTTAACAGGTTCCAAGTTCGAGTTCGTCTCTGCAACACTGATATAAATTCTCACCATCATTTGTTATTTTTCTGATTGTATCACTCAATGAAAGGATAATACAAGCAATAACTTAAAAACTATACTTGTCACAAAAGACATGACTAATGCAACTTGATGGCTTTGTGGATAACCCTCTGGAGTTTGAATCGACTGGTCCTAGGTTCCTGTATTATTGGGGATAAAATATAATATAGGCCAGCAGTAAACTAGTATTTCAAATTATTTCAGACAGTTTCACTAAACATTTTTACAAGCAAATGCGCATATATGTAGATGTTAATAAAAGCACACGATTAATATAAAATTTATTAAGGCGTATATTTTCAATGAGTTTGTGCACCATATAACGATGGATATGGATATAAGTAGTATATGTTGAGAGGGCGGCAGAAATCATAGGCAATTACCAGTAGTGGGTAAACATTCTGTCCAGAAAAGCGCAAGAGACAAAGCGGGTGTATGAAGAGCAAATCAAAATGGAAGCGGAAGAGGAAATGAAGCACATTATGAGAATTGTCTTAATGGAAGGTGTACAATGTTTGATGACTATTGTACAAGATGTCAATAATAAACATTGCTTCCTTCGTCTCCTTCTTATAGTATACCAGACTACTACTACTACTACTACTTCGTTAGTAGCAATAATTCTGTTTACTTTCAGTCCTAATAGAGGTCGAACAATTTGGTCCACTAAAACAACGGAAAGTAACAAGTATGTCAATAAATAGTAATTTCTTGCTCTGTGTACTGGGTGATGATTCAAGGTGAGATGAAAATCCGGACTGCTGCCGCACTGGAACCAGCTGCCACCGGGTTACCGGCCCGGTGCTCCATCAACTGACCTATGAGGTCCGACTGCTTACCAGTTTTGTTTCAGTTCAATCACCATGGGTTTTGTCCGACTACCATGTGAATCCCTGACGCCTTACTACCATTTGGTCGTATTCACATTAGATGTGTAGTCAAGACTTCTCATCCCCATCCAAATCTAATTGAATAAGAGGAGTAAGGGGACCGTCATACTGATTAAGATTTGACTATGTAAGATAGAAGGAGAAGACTCGGATTTTGCCGATGACTTGTGCCTGATGTCACATAAACTTGAAGATCTGCAGGCAAAAACTAACAAGTTGTCAGAAGAGGCGAGGCAGCGAAGACGGAACTTCAGGTGAATATAGAGAAGACAGTGGTGATGAAGATACCCAACCAACAACAACAACAAACTCCAGTCACCATCAACGGGAAAAACTTAAAGGAAGTAACCTCCTTCACCCACCCTCCTAGGAAGCACTGTTTCAACTACAGGCAACACAGGCACAGACGAGGATGTGAAAGTCAGAATCGGAAAAGCAAGACAGGTGTTCATTAGCCTGAAACCAGTGTGGAGATCTGCACTCAGCATGTGCAACAAGATACGGATTTTCAAGACCAATTCAGTCAAGTCAGTGCTTCTGTATGGTTCAGAGACTTGGCGCGTCACGATAGGGATTTCCAATAAACTACAGACATTCATCAACAACTGCTGCCCACGCTGGCTCACTATTGAAGATCAGATGGATTGCCAGAAAGAATAAGCAACAAGGAGCTCTGGGAACGAACCAACGAAGCAAGAACCTATCATCCAACAAATATGCAGGAGGAAGTGGAGATTGATTGAGCATGCACTGAGAAGGCCGACTGAGGACATCACGCGTCAGGCCAGTTGCTCGAGTGGAATCCCCATGGGAAGCGACGAGTTGGACGTCCGAGGTGGAGGTGACATGGATGAGATCGTGCGAGGAGGAAATGAGAGGTTGTGGGCTGTCGTGGAACCAGATTCAAAAGATCTGAGAGAACAGAGTTAACTGGAGACGTGCTACTGAATCCCTATGTTCCACTAAGAACCCAAGTGACTAATAATGATATAATAATAATGTAAGATAGCCATAGTGAAGTAAAATAAAATTCTGGCTAGTAGTTAGACTTCGTAGCTCAGTTGGTAGAGCACCGGACCGGTAACCCAGTGGCCGCTGTTTCGAGTCCGGCCGTAGTCCAGATTTCCATCCTATGTTCAATCATCACCCAGTACAAAAGCTAGTCTGCCAAGCTATGGCTTTTTGGATAGTCAAATCATAATTTCCTGTTCTGTTTAGTTTTTTAAGCAAATAAACAGGAATAATAAAATGTTGAAATTTTGCATCAAGATAACCATGATCAAACAAAACTGAAGTCTTTTCACCTGAATTAAGGTTATGTATTTTAAGGGAATATGTATATACTCTTGAGTTAATTGGCCATACATATCGGTGTTCTATTTGTTTGTTAGTTAGTCAATCCAACTGCTCATTTGTTTATGCATTTAAAGATCTCAAACAGTTATACATTCATGATTATTGTTTACATGTCTGTCTGTCTATCTATCTATACGGATATCTACTAACACATTGAATCAACCAATCAGAGGACAGTGTATTCTCATTATTATTATATATAAAAAGTACAGTATGTACATATTTGATTACTACTGATCAGTCAATTTAATATTTTTTCATAATGGACAAAACACAATTATCATCTAATGATTTTGATTATACATCAAAAACTATTACAACTGAAGTTACTGATAAATATGGTAAAACATTAATATCAACTATTCAAAGAAGAAAACATTATTCAGGCAAATATTGTCGAAAATTATTAAAAATTATTTTTAAAAATATTGGTTTAACATTATTACTCATAGGTTATTTATGTGCTGGTGGTTATATATTTCGTTCACTTGAATTATACAATGATGCACAAGATTGTTATCAACGTGAAAAAGGATATATAAGGAAATTGAATTCTACTACACTAAGAGTAATTGGCACTTTAAAGTCATTCAATGATAATGAAGTAACTCGACAAACAATAGAAGATATTATAAGAAATATATTGAATGAATATGCTACAGATATTTATGCATTAGATTTTAAACCACTAACAAATTGTACAGCTATATTGAATACACCAGATGGTTCAAAATGGAGTTTTGTTAATGCAATCTTCTTCTGTGTAACAGTTATTACAACAATAGGTAAGTATAGTAGTACAATAATAGTCTAATAATACAAAATTATTTTACACTGTAAAATATTATTAATTTGTATTATTTTTTTCAAAGAAAATAAACAATAGGCAGCAGTTAACAATAGCCTTTCTTGAAGTCAAAGACCCTTCAATAGATTATCCTCTCATCTGTTATCCAGTATATAGATACAAGTATGTTCACTATCAATAAAAATCAATATTGTTAATTGGTTTACTAGTGGAATCTAAGATGAACGTTTCGTATTTTCTGGGACTCATCAGCTGGATTTACGTGGACTTCAGTGAGTGGTGTTTTTCCTACCCACTTAACCACCAGACAATAAATGTCTAGGGGATAGCGAGGCATTCACTTAGAAGCACAAAATACATTAAAGAATTCGATCTAGGATAAAAGCAGAGAATTACAAGTACTGAGAAATATTAACAATGATGATTGGTTCATGCTACTGATGAATAGTAGGCATATGGAGAAATCTCACATGTGTGCAGTGAATATCAGTAGTAAAACCTAGGGACAACCTCTGTTTAACACTTCTTACAAATCATATAGTCAATATGTTTTATGCTTCATTCAAACAACTTGCAAACTGAATGGTATATCAATGCAGTTCTAGATGAATTTACAGTTAGATGGTAAGTGAATGGAACCTGGCTTATCATGGCTTTGAACATGATTGCTGTCTGAATACCAGCTTGTATATACTTAAATTTGTCTTATCATAGCCTCAATACAACTTTGAATCTGTCTCGGTTAATCTATCTCACATAAAGTCGAATAGGAGAGTAACTTGAAACTCTAGTAAACTTCAAATGGATCCTTGTAATAAAAACTAAAAAACTGATTCAGCGAAGAAATATATTCCTTTTCAATTAGGTCTTCCTGTTCACCTCTACACAAATATATGGTTTTACAGTTTAATCAAATTACCAATCACCGGGTGGGGTCGATGAACAATAATAATTATAGATTTTAAGCAAGTGATGAAGGTGATTAGTTTTGGAAATTAAGTAAGTAAGTAAGTAAGTAAGTAAGTAAGTGAGTAAGTAAGTAAGTAAGTAAGTAAGTAATCAATAGAGTAATTAAAATGGTTATTCTTAGGTAAATGGAGTGATTTTTGATGAGTGTTCAATCATAAACAATAAGCGATTACAAAACAGTAAGAAAACAAATGAATACTGATAGAAACAAGAAGGGGAACAGGTGTACAAAGTAAATACTATAAATTAAATTATATCGATGGCCAAGATAATGAAAGTGGTCGAACAAACTTCTTTGCAATACAAAGGTTACGCTTGTAAGGGTAAACTGAAATCACCTGTGCTATGTAAAGTGAGCGAATGCGAATGTGACTCAGTGATCTAGTGGATAATGCTCACTCGTTTGAAGCGATTAGGCTTGGTTATATATATATATATATATATATATATATATATATATATATATATATATATATATATATATATATATATATATTAGCGACTGCGTTACATTTATATATGAGATGCAGCAGAAATTCAATTCGTTTTAAACAGAGAGTAAAATGTATACAGTTTATTCTAGTTGCCGGTTGAGGAATTGAATAATTATCCCTGGCATCTTGCCATTTCTAACTGTTCCCTTACCGTTGACTTCTGTTCGGTATTCTATGTGAGATAGACGAAATCAACAAGAAACCTCACATACAAACGCATCACCTCAAGTTGCTACACTTCAAAGTAGTTCACAAAGAGAATATGCATAGAAAAGGAATGATATTATAGTAGACAAAGTAGTGTGAGAGAATAAAAAAATCTGAAGATAATGGTTTGTACAAATATGGAAACTTCAGCAGGAGTCGAGGAGTGAATACATCTGTGCCACTGAGACCCGTTTTCAGCTACTTCATCAAGGGTCAGTCCTCAACCACTGAGTTCTTTCATCTCACTGACCTAAGTCAGACAATCTATGTCTGCTTACACAGCTAAATCCAACGGTAAGAGGTCTCGTCGACTGGTGCCACTTCTTCTTCTGGTCACCCTGAACTCTCCTCCAACATAATCCAACTTTGCCTGACATGACACGTAAATTTACACAATTCGCATAAATTAAACATGAAGAGAAGAAGACGTATAAACCGATGTTGACTGTAATCTAAGAAATACTTAATGCATTTTACTCATTATGTTTAAGTTTAGAATACTGCCTTCTTTTCTAAAAGCTGATAGGTGGAATGATGGTTGAGTACCGTAACCACTAAACAGCAGTTTCATTATGTGAAAAGACGAAGGTACAAAATTGTGGTATCATTATGGAGTGAAATATTAGTCAGTCAGCCATCAGGAAGCGTTGGAACGAGATTTCGTGGTGAAGTCACAGACTATAACGATCCACCTGTTCAGTTCACTAGATTATGTACAAAAATTGACCAACAAACGGTAACCAATACAGTTATCCAGTTCTCAGTACTGACCAAATCCTGCTGATGAAGTTTCCAATGTGTCCGTGAATCTTAGTGATATGACAGTGAATTCCACGTCTCACATCGAAATCCAGTGCATTGCCTTGTTGCATCATTTAGATGAGTGGCCACCACAATTGCAAACGTGATAGATAAGCTTTGGTTAGTATTGAGCACCAACAACTAAACAGCCTTAATCAGTTATCGAAGTTTTAAGTCAATTTTTTGAAAAATCTTGGAAGAGATTTTCCTTCATATACCTAAAAGGCAAAAAGTCTATATGCGGTATTTCAATCTACATTAAAAATAAACATGCTTGACCTTTAACAACTATTTAGCTTCGTTTGACCTCAAGTGCCAAACTTGGAAAGTGTAGGTTTGTTGACCTTGATCTGCTCTAATAGGAATAAGCTTACAAGCTTATCTATTACTTTTGAGGTGGTATTCACCATGGAAACAAGGAAAAACTTGGGAGCAGTATGGAACTCCTCAGCAGTACGCAACCATAACCCGGTTAGGAATCAGACTCGAGACTTTCAGGTTTACAGCGAACGCGTCAACCATTCAGTTACTTATTCGGAGTTCAGTGATCCACAAATTCCTAATGATATCAATTCGTGATATCATCCAAGATCTTTAGTTGGTATCAGCTTTGCTTTCAACTGGTCGACTCTACAGGTCATGGTTTCTCATCAGAACTTCGGGATATCCATCTGGAAGCATATCACTAATAAGCAATATACAGTGATGTATTTTGAGGGGAATGGAGGTATGAATTTTGAAAGTCAGATAATCTATACTAACTAACTGAATAATATTGGACACGAAGTACAAGCTTCTTGGCATTCCTCGTACATTGAGCCTATCCAAGTGGGTTTGTGTATTTGTCCACGCTTTATCGTTGAAATTGTAAGCGTCTTAGGTATTCCCAAATTATATTCAAATTATCTGAAATAACCGTGGATTGGTAGACTGGTGTCCATGGTACAAGTTGGTTTGATCAAGAAGACCTGAATGAACAATGAGTAGAATGACGATGATGATAATGATGTGGAGCGGAAAGTTATGTACCACCTATCCACTTGACAACGGAATAAGATTTTTAGGAAGTGAAGTGAACTTAAGACCTGATTAGCGCCTGAGTCTTGGAGTTCAGTCAGTAATTTGTTGGGTTATTTGATTGAATTCCTATATGACGTACATTTTTCATTTCACCGTGAGTCATCACTGCATATCACTCAAAATCGACTGTTCAGTTTCCTCTACTAGTTGAAATGAGTATGTCTAGACCTCCTCAATCAATCAGAAATGCTCTCTAGCCAGATCAAAGTGGTACTATTTCACTCCTTTGGGGTGGAGCTCATTGCTGGTGTCCCCGAAATGACCCAGCTCAAAGAGGCGGATTTTTAAAACCACCGACATTTTGGCTACCTACTTGATCTGACTGATCATTACCTTGAATAGAAACGATTGACTGTGAAATTCACAGTTGATAATGAGGAATCTCACCATAGTTTCTTATGGGAATTAAAATTTTCAGGTCATCTTAAATGACCTGAGCGACACCATAATTGGCTTCAAGGTTTTGAAGGAGAAAACTGTACAAAATACATCAGTGACTGAACTGAGTGATTTTTGATGATTCACGTCTATTCACTAGGCCCAGCTAACTTGATCAAAGGGATCTAAACATCAGAATTCAGGTGGTTCGAACAATCCAGCTGTCTGAGTTGAATCAGTCCGGGTGCAGTGCTGGTGAGCATGGCACTAGGTAGTGTTCACCAGCCGCATATTTTAGTAAAAATTTGAAATGACTCTTCAATCTTTGCTGTTTATTTACTTCAATACCGTTCCATTGCTGTTGTATGTGTGGATGTATTCATGAGTTTATTCGTCCATAAATCATTTAAAATTTTATACTAAATTGGAAACACTGAACAAATACCTGAAGTGACGGGATGAGCCATAACAACACAATGAGACACTTCGACTGAACACAAATAGTAACTGTTTTCCTTCGCCATCATATACTTTATTGACCCGCGAAAATCAGAAGGCAGCGAATGACCTGCGACTGTAAGCAAGACACTTTATTTGATAAAAATATATCACGTTATTATTTATTGATGTAATTGTAATTCTCCGTTGTTTTGTTCGATCGAATTGTTCGACCTCTATTGGCCTATGGGCTCCTATGCGAATACATCGATATTACCTGAGTGGTAATCATGATAATTTGGTTTGTTGTGGTTAGCAGAAGAACCCAGAACGCGCGTTTCGTTCTGTTTGCGACCCGCCAGCGAGATGTGCCTGCACCTCAGTGAGTGATGTTGTTTCCACTGAGACTGGAATCTCGTATCCATCGCTTTAAAGGCCGGGGCGTCATACACTATGCCACGGATGATCAATAACCACTTCTTGTACGACGGCTAGTAGTTATTATTGTCTATTGACATACTTGTTACTCTCCGTTGTTTTATTGGATCGAATTGTTCGACCTCTATTGGCATATGAGCTCCTATGCGAATGCCTCGATATTGATGTAGAG